TGGGGCTCGAACACACAACCCATCGTGGCCCAAAGTGGAGTATCAGGGCCCAAGTGAGGTGAGGAGAGCATCCATGCAGGATGGGAGCAGTCCATTGTAGGGAGATGGGGACTGACAAGGGTAAGGATGGCATCCATATGACCAGAGTTGGTAGTCCGGTATGGGGATTTGGAGGGGGGAGCAGGCCAACATGAAGAGTCAATGCCCTAGCAGGGTAAAAGGGTCATCTACACATTGGTGGGGGAGAAAGTATGGGTGTCAGAGCTTGAGCTGAGAGTGTCCACATGGGGTGGGAACAGTTTAGGTAGGGAGTCTGAGGCTAGCATTCCTGAGGAAAGGCAGCCTGGAGAGGGATATTAGAGCCAGAGCAGAGTGAAGGGGGCATTCGTACAAAGGGATAACCCAAATGGGGTGAGGAAGGGGTCCACATAGGGAATGGGAATCACAGTTCAAACAGGGAAAGGAAGACATCCATGCAGGAGAAGGGTAGAAAAGGATGTGGGAGATGATTACATACAGGAAGCTTGATCAGGTAAATATAATAAGTATAATGGGAGGCAGAGAAAGGAGTTACCAATACAGGAGAGAGAATACAGGAGAGAGAACTAAAATGCATCTTGTGTTGTTGTCATTGAACTGGAAGTGTCAGTGTGAATGCATGACATTCAACATATAAACAGGTAGGTATATAAAAAACAATAGATGTAAATGTATGTTTACAGATGTGCGTGTGCCTGTGTGTGCATATATTGGCAGTTGTCCACTGAGAGGGTTTAGGAACAATACCCGGATAGCAATGAGCACATCTCCTGTGCACATCTTGGTCTTTAAACACCATTTGCCACTAAAGAAACCAGGACTCCTTATTTTAGGACTGGGCAGGGAAAGTACAAGATGAACCTGGAACATCTTGTGCAAGAATGCTTGTCAAAAGAACATCTTAATCAAATGCTCAAACTGAACATTATCCGTGATGGGACAAATCAAAATCGTGAGCCACTCAATAAAATACAATGAAAATGCAGCATCACTCCAGTGAGATTCCTGCCAAAGAGGCATAACTTGATTCTAATCATGAGGAAACATCAGACAAACCCAAACTGAGGGACACTCTACAAAATAACTGTTCTGTAATTTTGAGAAGCATCAAGGTCAAGAAAAGTCTGAGACGCTCTTCTAGGCTGAAGGAGACTGAAGAAACATGACTCGTAAATTCAACACATGATGCTGAACTGAATCTCTTTGCAATAAAAGACCTACTGGGACAAGTGGTGAAACTTGAATGAGATCTGAGGATTGGATGGTAGTAATGTCTTGGTGTTAATTTCTTCATTCTGATTGGTTAAGATTATATAGGATTATTTTAAGATTTTGTTTATTTTTTGAGAGAGAGCTAGCGAGAGAGCATGAGTGGGGTGGAAGGTCAGAGGGCGAGGGAGAAGCAGGCTTCCCACTGAGCAGGGAGCCCAGTGTGGGACTCAATCCCAGGACCCTGGAACCATGACCTGAGCCGAAGGCCATCATTTAACCAACTGAGCCACCCAGGTGCCCCAAAGATTTTATTTACTTATTTGAGAGAGAGAGCGCATGAGCAGGGTTGGGGAGGGGGGGAGCCGCAGAGGGAAAAGGAGAAGCAGACTCCCCACTGAGCGGGGAGCACAATGCGGGGTTTGATCCCATGACGCCAGGATCATGACTGGAGCCAGAGGCAGACGCTTAAGCAACTGAGCCACCCAGGCACTCCTAATATATGTATCTTTATAGGACAAACACACTCAAGTATTTAGGAGTGTTGGAGCATTAGGTCAGCAATTCTCAAATGATTCAGGCAACAGAAATGTTCTCTTTTACTTCCAACTTTTTTGTATTTCAAAGTAAAATAATTTAAAAATGATGGGTGTCTGGAACTAATATTCTAAAATATTTGACTCGGGGGTGCCTGGCTGGCTTAGTCAGTGGAGCATGCAACTCCTGATCTCAGGGTTGTAAGTTCAAGCCCCACATTGGGTATAGAGATTACTTAAAAATAAAATCTTTTAGGGGCACATGGCTGGCTCAGTCGTGAGAGCATGGGACTCTTGCACATCTTGTGCAAGATCTTGATCTCGGGGTTGTGAGTTTGAGCCCCATGTTGGGTGTAGAGATTACTAAAAATAAACTAAAAAAAAATTTTTTTAAATGTAGATCCACGTTATATAAGTTTATTTTTTTTTAAATAGAGCCTAATTGTTGAGAGTATAGCATTCTAGAGTTGTTGTACCTAATCTTTATCTATTGTTAATAAATTAGCCATTGAAAATAAATGTTAACTTTTTAAAACAAGCATATATTTAGTAATTATAAGAAATTAACACACATTTTAGTAAATTCAACATGAATGTAATGGAATCAGACCGTACTAAATTCTAGTCATTGTTTTGCTGTTGACCTGCTGGGTGTTTTTTCATCAAGTTAGTTCTGGCTTTGCGCTTTAGTTTGTTCATCCATAAAAGTTAGGATTAAACTAGATGGCCTAAACATAGTAACTTTTAAACATTTTTTAAATAACAATTTCCATTAAGCAACGCATTTTATATTATGACCCAGAATATACTCCCCTCAGTACATCTATGTTTATGAACCAACCTTTTCTATATGGGACATTTTCGTCTATATTTTTTTTAAATTGGGGTAAAATTCACATAACATAAAATTTAATAAATTTTACCATTTTAACCATTTTATTTTATTTTTTTTTTTAAAGATTTTATTTATTTATTTGACACACAGAGAGAGATAGCGAGAGAGAGAGAGGGAGAGAGCACAAGCAGGGGGAGCGGCAGGCAGAGGGAGAAGCAGGCTTCCTGCATGAGCAGGGAACCCGATGTGGGGCTCGATCCCAGGACCCTGGGATCATGACCTGAGCTGAAGGCAGCGGTTTAACCAACTGAGCCACCCAGGCGCCCCCATTTTAACCATTTTAAAAGGTGTACAAGTCAGTGGCTTTTAGTACATTTACAGTGTTTGTGCTCATCACCATGATCCAATACCACAGAACCCCCCCATAAAAATTAGAAAAGGATGGGAGCAGCCCATTGTAGGGAGATGGGGACTGACAAAGGTAAGGAGGGCAAAAAAGAAACCCCATACCCATTTAGCAGTCAGTATTTTTTCCCTACCTTCCAGCCCCTGGACATTTCATATAAATAGTCATATAATAAGTGGCCTTTTTGTGTTCAGTTTCTTTCACTCAGCTTAATGTTTTCAGGCTTCATCCTTGTTGTAGTATGTATTAATACTTCATTCCTTTTTAACACTGCTACAAAGATTGGTGCACAAGTTTTTGTTTCATTTCTCTTGGGTATATATCTAGGAGCAGGATTGCTGGGTCAGATGGTAATTCTACTTTAACTTTTTGGGGAACATCAGGCTTTTCCACAGCAACCACATCATTTTATATTCCTACCAGTGATGTTCAAGGGTTCCAATTTTTCCTCACCATCATTCGTTAGTTTCTGGTTCCTTTTTTGTTTTGGTTTTTTTGGTAATTATAACCATCCTAGTGAGTGTGAAGCAATGTCAAATCATTGTTTTGATTTGCATTTCCCAAATGATTTATGATGCTGAGCATCTTTTCTCATGCTTATACCTCCTGAAAAGAAATGTTTTATCAGGGCCTTTGCCCATTTATTGGGCTATTCGTAGCATTGTTGTTGAACTATGGGTTTTTATTCTGGATACTAGATCTTTAGCCGGTACGTGATTTGCAAGTACTTCTCCCACCGTTGGTTATCTTCTCATCTCATTTTCTTGATACTATCCTTTGACGTACAAAAGTTTCTAATTTTTGTGAAGATCAGTTTATCTATTTTTTCTTTGGTCACTTGTGCTTTTGGTGTCGTATCTAGTAATTCATTGCCAAATCCAAGGCTATGAAGATTTACCCCTGTGTTTTCTTCTAAGAATTTCATAGTTTTAACTTTTACATTTAGGTCTTTGATCCACATGGAGTACATTTTTCCATATGGTATGAAATAAAGGTCTGCCTTCATTTTTTGGGGTATGCTTATCCAGGTGTCCCATCATCATTTTTTGAAAAGACTAATTTCTTTTTTTCTTCTGTTTTTTTCTTCTATATGGGCCATACTTTTTTGCTTCTTTTCATGCGTCATTATTTCTTGTTGAAAACTGGACATTTAAATATTATAATGTGGTAACTGTGGAAAGTAGATTCTCCCCAAGGGTTTGTTGTTGCTGCTTTGGTGGTGTAGCTGTTTGTTTAGTGAATTTTCTTTTTCTTTTTCTTTTTTTTTTTAAGATTTTATTTATTTGAGAGAGAGAATGAGAGAGAGAGAAAGCACGTGAGGAGGGGGAGGGTCAGAGGGAGAAGCAGACTCCCCGCTGAGCAGGGAGCCCGATGCGGGACTCGATCCAGGGACTCCAGGATCATGACCTGAGCCGAAGGCAGTCGCTTAACCAACTGAGCCACCCAGGCACCCTTCTTTTTCTTTTTTTTTAAGATTTATTTATTATTAGAGAGAGCATGAGCAGGGGGAGAGGCAGAGAAAGAAGAAGAGAGAGAATCTCAAGCAGACTCTCCACTAAGCATAGAGCCCAACGGGGGGCTCAATCCCAGGACCCTGAGACCATGTGCTGAGCCGAAACCAGGAGTCAGCCACACAACCAACTGAGCCACCCAGGCGCCCCCATTAAGTGAATTTTCTGAACTAATTTTGTAAAGTCTGTATTATTTGCCATGGTAGCCACTGAAATCTCTGTTTTATTAGCTTGGTGGCTCACTAATGATTTGACAGATTTTCTTAATCACTTGTGGGGAAAAAAAAAAAAACCTCTCCCCAGTCTTTGCAGATTCACTCTTGTGTGTGTGGTGGGTCTGCCTTTACCAGGCAGTTTACAGCTTTGTGTTAGCCTTCATTTCCTGCTTGTGCACACCCCGTGCAGGTCAGCGAGAGTAGAGTTTAGGACCTTCTCAGGTCTTTTCTGAGCGTGTGCCAGACACGGGCATGCAAATGGGCCTTCTAGGGTCCTAAGACTATGTCAGCTTTTCAAAGCCCTTTTTCTCCAAATTGTCATTCCCCAGCTCTCCTCCCAAGCTTCTTGGTTTGTCTTCGGTTTGCCCCAACTGTCATCCCTGGCCCCAGACAACAGAGGCTAATGCATTTGCCTTCAAATGTTTTAGACAAATGCCTCTGCCCTGGCAGAGTTCCAGCTTAGGCAAAATAAAGTCAAACCCTTTAAGTTCATCCTTCAGGGAGCCTCCAGACAGTTAAAAACAACCACAATTCTTTGAGAATAAGGTCCATTCTACTCCCTCTGATACTAGGAACCTATACTGGGAATATGGGCCATTGTCTTCAAAGCTCTTGCTGAGCAGGAGATGGAGACAGGGTAAGTTAAAACACTACAAGACTCTCTTACTAAGACTCAGGAGGGTTTTTTTCCTCATTAAGCATTTGCCTGGTTGCTACAAAGTTTTGATTAGTTTCTAGAGTTCTGATAAAGTTGATTCTGCCAGTTTTTTTGCCACATAATTCTCTGCTTTTGTAGAGGGACAACCTTTTAGCATTCCCTATTCTGCCATTTTTGCTGATGTAACCTCTCTCTGTATATTTTTTAATGTAAGCCACGGTCCATTAATGAGCTAGGATCTACAGTTTGAAAACACTGGTCTAACATCCTTGCTGTGGGAAGAGCATATGAACTAAGCAAGTAGAGAATTTCCATTCTAAGGGCATGTTGATGAACTATAATTATTCATACTTTAACAAAGAAGTCTGAAAATACGAACAAAGTGATTTGTTCTCCCAACTTTCAGATATGTTGGCAAAATTATAGTCACTTCTCACCATGTTACTAGAATATCCAGACAAGTTTCTGAACGGGATCCCTGTTAAAAATGTATTTACCTGCACAAAGTCCTTAGACTTCAAGATGTACTATGCAATTACTTACAATGAGGTTTGACTATAGACCCTCCTATTCCTCTGCTTCAGCTGTGGGACATCCGGAAGAAAGCAGCCATCCAGACATTTCAGAACACCTACCAGGTGTTAGCTGTGACCTTCAATGATACAAGTGATCAGATTATTTCTGGTGGAATAGACAACGATATCAAGGTATGTTTAATATTTGTGTTATACCTCCCTTTGATCTGTCTCCACTCGCAGAGGTAGTCTTTTCAAACTTCTGAGATTGTGATAGCTTTGCACTTTATACCAACTACAAGGAAGATAGTAATTTCAATCTTGTTTTGTTTCTGTCCTATCCTCATTGACTTCTAAGTCAAGGGTTGCATTATGGCTCATATAAATGCCATCAGGGACCAGACAGTTCATGTGAAGTGTGAGGCCCCATGTGTGGAGTCTGTGAACCTGAAGAGTGCGTTCCCTGCCTAAAGACATTTGCAACCTTTTTTTTTTTTCCTCACTCTGTTGGCCTGCTGAGTTAGCATTGAATCAACTTGTGATTCTCAACTCTGATCTCTCAGTGTGTATTTCTCTTTGAGATGTGGAAAGGAAGTTTTGGAGAGTCCACAACCAAGAGAGAGGGAAGGTGGTGGTGTTGTGAGAGTTGGCAGAGGTCCACACAGCAACACAGCGTAGCTCATGCTTTTGACTAATTGACTTGGATTCTAATCCCAGTTCTGTCATTTTCTGATTTCTTAGTACTGCAAGCAAGTTCTTTAACAGACTCTTAATAACCACAATAACGTCTACCTCATGGGGTTGTAGTGGGGATTAAATGAACCTAATGCATTAGAGCACGTAGCAGAGTTTCTGGACATAGCAAATGCCAGTGGATGGGAAGTGTTTTGGGGCTACACAATTTGTGTCTGTCTTTACATATTGGCTTCCTTAAGTGTTTCAAAGATTTTGACCTTACCTTCTGTTTTACCTTTAGAGTAATAACTGGTGGATAAATATTCAGCTTCCTGCTGTCTCTACCTAAAAATTGTACTCTGTACCCTTTCGTCCCTGCCTCCTTTGCTGCTACTATGGATGAAATATCCTTGCTTTTGTCTAAAGGTAGTCCCTTCAGTGGAAGAATTTCAACTCCTTTTCCTGTCTGGGCCCTCATGCCATCTGTTTTCCCAGATCCTCTGTTTTCAACCTGCTCTTCTGCTGTCTTCTCATCAGCACTCCATCGTGCTCAGGTCTTGGCATTGGGGTGGGGGAGTCTTCCTTTCATTCTGCTTCGTCTTGTTGCCCTGTCCATCTTCCTCTTCACAACCAGACTTCTTTTGTGGTGATGACAATAATAATGTTATCATTACCATCAGACACTTACTGTCAGTGTCATGCGTTGTTCTTTGAGCTCTTTCTTATTCATTTAAGCTTCACAGCATCCTATGAAATAAATGCTATTAATGCCATTTTACAGATGAAGGAACTGAATTAAGAGAAGCCCAGCAAAATCCAGACTCGGGTTTCAGAGTCCTGCTCTTAATACCTATGAGAAATGTCCCCTGATGATTGTTGTACACTCGCTGTCTTCATTTCCTCACCCCATTTCATTATTCCACTCCCATGTCTCCTGATCACTCCTCAGCATTCTGGCTTCTGCCTCCGTTATTTCATTGACACCCTTCTCTTCAAGTTCACCAATGATCCTCCTCCCTTTCCTAAATTCAGTAGATCCTTTTAGTCTTTTCTTTTAGTAGTTGTGACAACATACTCTCCTACCTCTCTGGCATGTCGTTCTCAAATACCTCTGTGAGCCATTCTCTCTATACATACCTTAAATGTCATTATATTCCCTAAGGTCTTTTCCTAGGTGCTTCTCATATATACCTTTTCCCTGGACAGTTCTCATCTAATTCTGTGACTTTGACATCTCTATGCTGATTCTATATTTCTGGCCCAGATCTTCAGCTCCAGACCCCTGTATACAACCAGCCTCTCGGCATTCCCCCACTTGGATGTCCCATAATACTTGAAAATTGACCATTTCCAAAATTTAACTTCCCATCCCTTTTCTACCTTATAACTGTATGGAGAATGTTGAATCAGGGCATGGGAACTTAATTAGATCTCTTAATAGCTAATGCAGTGTTTCCCAGAGAGAAGTTTGGGAGCCCATTAGCTTTAGAATCACCAGAGGGCATCTTATACACATGACAGTAGGTTAGTGTCATTAAGCTATTATAGTTTTCATACTTTTCAAATTATTACTAGGGGGTGCCTGGGTGGCTCAGTCGTTAAGCGTCTGCCTTCGGCTCAGGTCATGATCCCAGGGTCCTGGGATCGAGTCCCACAATGGGCTCCTTGCTCCGCGGGAAGCCTGCTTCTCCCTCCCACTCCCCCTGCTTGTGTTCCCTCTCTGGCTGTGTCTCTCTCTGTCAAATAAATAAATAAAATCTTTAAAAAAAAAAAGATATATATATATATATATATAATTAGGGATGCCTGGCTGGCTCGGTTGGTAGAGCATGAGACTCTTGATCTCGGAGTCATGAGTTCAAGCCCCCAACATTGGACATAGAGGTTACATTAAAGAAAAAGAATTCCCTTTAAAAAAAAATAGTAAAATAGTTATTAAAGTTTACATATGGCAAAATAAAGTTTGCTTAGTGTACAGTTTTATGAATGTTTATGCTTACGTAGATTTGTGTAGCTACCACAAACAAGGTAGAGAACAATTTCCATCACCCCCAAAATTTTGTAATGTTCACTTGTGTCAAACCCTCTTTCCATTCCTAACTCATTCTAACCATTGATCTGTTCTTTGTTCTATATAGTTCCTTTTTCTAGAATATCATACAAATGGAATCATACGTATGTAACCTTTTGAGACTGCTTCTTTTATTTAAGGTCTGAGAATGTGATGCCCTCATCTCTGCTGTGGGGACAGACTAGCTTAAGAATAATACTCTTGTGGGGCGCCTGGGTGGCTCAGTCATTGAGCATCTGCCTTCGGCTCAGGTCATGATCCCAGGATCCTGGGATCAAGCCCCACATTGGGCTCCCTGCTCCGTCGGAAGCCTGCTTCTCCCTCTCCCACTCCCCCTGCTTGTGTTCCCTCTCTCGCTGTCTCTCTGTCAAATAAATAAATAAATAATCTTAAAAAAAAAAAAAGAAGAAGAATACTCTAGTGCTAGGAAGGCCTTCTTATGGACATATTGTGTGGCTTATTCCACATTCTTTATCCTAGACTGTTCCTGGGTCTTCTCTAAACAGATATATTTAATTCTGCTATAGTCCTTAAGGGGTACTCAATCCCTTTTTAGGATTTGAAGGTTTTCCATGTCCTCTCAGACACACACTATATGTTAGACCTCTCAGGGTAGGTGATTTCTGCAGATAGCTAATCTCAGCTTTGTTCTGAAAGCCAAATTTATCTCACAGAGAATGTGTAAATAAATTCCATAAGTACAGTAATTACATATATCACTAGCTTTTTTCTAAGAGTTTGTCCTTCAGGGGTACCTGGGTGGCTCAGTCAGTTGAGCATCTGACTTCTGATCCCAGTTCGGGTCTTGATCTCAGTGTCATAAGTCCAAGCCCCACATTGGACTCCATGTTGGGTGTGGAGCCTACTTAGAAAATGAATGAATGAATGACCTTCATATTTCTTTCAGAAGTTCCCTGATTCTAGTTCTGTATAATTTGGTGAATTAGTTCCTACTTACCCTATATGTTGTTTTTTTCTTTTTTCTTTTTTTTTAAGTTTATTTATTTATTTGTAATCTCTACATACAATGTAGGGCTCAAACTCATGACCCCTAGGTCTAGAGTCACATGCAGGATGCCTGGGTGACTCAGTTAAGTGTCAGCCTTCATCTCTGGCCATGGTCCCAGGGTTCTTGGATCAAGCCCCATGTCAGTCTCCCTGCTCAGTGGGGAATCTGCTACCCCCACCATTTCCCCAAGCTCCTGTGAGCGCACGTGTGTGCACTCTCGCTCTCAAAAAAAAAATGAGTAAATGAGTAAATAAATAAAAAATCCGTTCTGTCTACAAATACTTAAATTTTTTTGCCAGTGTTTTATTTTCAGGAATTTTTTTTTTAATTTTAAAGATTTTATTTATTTATTTGAGAGGGAGGGAGCGAGAGCAGAGTGAGAGGGAGAAGCAGACTGCCTGCTGAGCAGAGAGCCCTATGCAGGGCTCGATCCCAGGACCCTGAGATCATGATCTGAACCAAAGGCAGACGCTCAACCTACTGAGCCACCCAGGCACCCTGGAAATTTTTTTTTTTTTTTTTAAGAATGTACACAGTACTGCAAAAACTTGGGAAAACTTTCTACTCTGCTATACTCTTTCTAGCATGAAAACTCATAGTGTTGATGCCCACTAACCAGATGCCCAAACATTCACTGAAAACTGATTTAGGCACTTACAAAATATCTTGCTTAAATTAGTTCTTCTGCCGCAAATCTCAGATACACATTTACTGTGCACAAACAATGTGTGCAGGCCTCCAGAAAGGTCTGGAAATGGTGCCCAAGTGCTATAAGGGATGGCACATTGCATTCTCTCCTAAAAAAGCTAAAAACTTCAACAATGTCTTCTCTGAAGAGGAGGAACAATAGCCTGAACAAAAAATGTCAGCCATTTCAAGCTTTCCTGATTATTGAGGCAGCAAACATCCTGACTCAAAAATGATTGTATATAAAGTGTGTTGGTTTCCACACGAGTGAGTTATTGATGGGGAAAGTGGAGTTGTCTGTCTTATGTATTGCTTTGACATACAACACCAAACTCATTTCTAGATAAGAGAAGTGCCTTACTTAAACAGGCAGCAAAAAAAATACTCACTTAGAAAAACTACATGGCAGTATTAAATCAAATTTGGAGGAAATTCTGTATTATACCAATGACCTTAACAAAATTGCTGTTCTTTTTCCATATGACATTCCAGACCATTCCTTTTGGCTTTAAATTGTTTTTTTCACATAGATGCAGTCTATGTAAATATAAATACTGTTTTGCATTTTCCTATTAGCTTAATAGCTTATTATTGGAACATTTTTACATTTGGTCTTCAGAGTTATTTTTAGGAGTTGCTTAATAATAGCTACCAATTATTGAGGGCCTGCTGTGTACCAGGCATCTGCTAAGCATTCTATTTCTAATCTTCCCAACAGCCATAGGAAGTAAATGTTGTTATCCCCATCTTACAGATTAGAAGCAGGCTTAGAGAGTGTTAGTGGCCCAATAACTCTTAGGACTTGGTCAGTCTGACCCTAAATCCTCACTTTTTCCGCTCTGCTCTACTATCTTTTTTTTTTTTTTTAAGATTTTATTTATTTTTGAGAGAGAGAGCGAGCACAAGCAGAGGTTGCGGTAGGCAGAGGGGGGAGGGAGAAGCAGGCTCCCCGCCAAGCTGGGAGCCCAAAGCAGGACTCCATCCCAGGACCCTCAGTTCATGACCTGAGCCAAAGGCAGACGCTTAACTGACTGAGCCACCCAGGTGCCCGTGCTCTACTATCTCTAGCATGAGATCCCATAGTGTTACAGTATGTTTATGGGCCATAACTTAATGAACCATTTATTTTCCCTGTTTTGACATAAGGTTATTTTTAGCCAAACTGTTTTTTTACCTTTCCCACCCAGATGACAATGAATCTATAATTTATCTTTCTTTTTAATAAATATGCTTTTCCATAGTGTGTGTGTATGTGTACATATAACGACATTAAATGAAAAATTTTAAGCAGTTGTATTTCTGTGTATTACCTTCTTACATATATTTCCATGTAATCATAATGCCTTTTTTTTTTTGGTTTTATTTATTTGACAGAGAGAGACACAGTGAGAGAGGGAACACAAGCAGGGGGAGTGGGAGAGGGAGAAGCAGGCTTCCTGCCGAGCAGGGAGCCCGATGTGGGGCTCGATCCCAGGACCCTGGGATCATGACCTGAGCCGAAGGCAGACGCTTAACAACTGAGCCACCCAGGTGCTCCTCATAATGCCCTTTTCAAATGATGTGTTCACTTGTTTTTCTGTAGTTCTAATAGTTTACTTATAATTGCTGAGAATCATAGTTTAAGCATTTGAAATGCTACTTAGTTTTTTAATTCCTAATACATTTTGTTATGATTTAAGAATAACCCTTGCAAATTCTTAATTTTTGTTAAACTTTATTATATTAAAAATTTATGTTACATATAATAAATACATTTATTATATGTAATTTATATGTAGTTATATATATAAACTATATAAGTTTTAAGTTATATAAGTTTATAGCCCTTTAGACATAGTAAGTTTGATTCCCTTTTTAGGAAGACAAGAGGAGTGCCTGGGTGGCTCAGTTAAGCGTCTGACTCTTGATTTCGGCTCAGATCGTGATCTCAGGGTCGTGAGATTGAGGCCCACATCAGGCTCCAGCTCCGTACTGGGTATGGAGTTTGCTTAAGATTCTCTTTCCAGGGCGCCTAGGTGGCTCAGTCAGTTGAGCATCTGCCTTTGGCTCAGGTCATGAACCCAGGGTCCTAGGATGATAGAGTCCTGTTTCGGGCTCCCTGCTCAGCGGGGAGCCTGCTTCTCCCTCTCCCCTCTGCCTGCCGCGCCTCCTGCTTGTGCTTGCTCTCTCAAAAATAAATAAAATCTTTAAAAAAAAGATTCTCTCTTTCCCTCTCCCTCTGCCCCTACCCCCACCCCTGCTCATGCTCTCTCTAAAAAAAAAAAAAAAAATTTTTAAAAAGAGAAGAGTTCTTTTCCTCTTGACAGAAATCCTCTATTTTGTGCTAAATACTGGGCCCACAGCCAGATTGAGAAGGGATACCAGTTTCTCCAGGCAGTTGACTCTTTAGTAACTATGTTTCTTTGCTATTCTCAATTTGATTTCTGGGAGCACCTTTTTGTTTTTGTAGGTCTGGGACTTGCGCCAAAACAAGCTAACCTACACCATGAGAGGCCATGCAGATTCAGTGACTGGCCTGAGTTTAAGTTCTGAAGGCTCTTATCTCTTGTCCAATGCAATGGACAATACAGGTAACTATGGAAAGGAAAGTTCTCCAAGGGCGCAGACACTGTGGACCTCAAGGAGAGTGGGCATTGGGTGCTAGAAATGTGTACTGGGATAAATGTGGATACAAGGAAAGAGTCAAGGGTGGTTCGCATGTTTCTGCCAGGGCAATTGGGAGAACACATTGTAATGGAAAAAGCTTTAGGGGCGCCTGGGTGGCTTAGTCGTTAAGCGTCTGCCTTCGGCTCAGGTCATGGTCCCAGGGTCCTGGGATCAAGCCCCACATCAGGCTCCCTGCTCAGCGGGAAGCCTGCTTCTCCCACTCCCCCTGCTTGTGTTCCCTCTCTCGCTGTCTCTCTGTCAAATAAATAAATAAATAATCTTAAAAAAAAAAAAAGAAGAAGAATACTCTAGTGCTAGGAAGGCCTTCTTATGGACATATTGTGTGGCTTATTCCACATTCTTTATCCTAGACTGTTC